TTTTTATTATGATTAAGAGTATTAATATTAAAAATATTATTATTTATGTTATAATTATTTTTATTTTTATTATAATAATATATGTTATAAATATTATTTTTATTTTATAATTCAAATTGTTCAGATAAAAAAGTATTATTTGTGTTATAAATATTATTATTTTTATTATAATTCAAATTATTAATATAAAAAATATTATTATGTATTGTAATAATCCTTAAAATTCTTAATATAATTATTTATGTTATAAATATAATTATTTTTATTATAATTAATAATATTATTGTTATTATAATTAATATTATTAATAAAATAATTAATAAATTTGAAAAAAACAATTACTATTAGTAATATTATTATATTATTTTTTATATTATAAATTTTTACAATAATTTTTATGATAATAAAAATAAACCCGCCAGGCAGCATGTGCATCCAGCTAATTAACCTCTAAACTATAATAGATGAAAATATATAAAATAATCCATGTAAAATATTTGTATTTGCATTAATCAATCTATTGTTCTACTAGTAAATTTAGCTTTCCCTTTTATTATTTAACTAGTATTAACTATTTTTTTATTTATCATTTATTTTATTAAGTATAATTTTTTTTTCAAAAAACAATTCATTAAATTTGAAAGCTTATCTATGGCACTTTTTTATCCTGTCTTATAAATTAACCTCAAATTAAATCACAAGACTATACCTAGTTAGTAATTTTTTTTTGGATTTCAAAAGTATTTTTTTAAAAAAATTAAAATTAAAATTTTTTTTATCTCAAATTAATTTTTTTTAATTTTTTTAATATATTAATATCAAAAATAACTTTTGCAAATCCAAAACCACATTTACGAAGAACCACAAATGTAGTATGGAGAAGACTTCCAACTCCCAAGTCAACAGCAAGTTCCAACAATACCAACTCACCACGTCACCAAAACTCCACCTGTCCCAAGTCAGCAGCAAGTTCCAACAATACCAACTCTCCACGTCACCAAAACTCCACCTGTCTCCTTCTCATTGGCTCAGCTCATGTCACTAAACTTCGGTTATGCACAAATACTCACCTCCATCTCCTCCTCCTCCTCTCCATCTCAAAATCCGCAAATGCCAAGTCCATAAAAAGGAACATCTCTAATTTCACAGCTCTCTCTCTAACAACCACCGTGGCTTCCTCCGCCCAACAGCCCCTCTCGCGAAGAAAACCCGCTCCTTCTTCTTCTTCCTCATCGCCGTCACCTAAATCACAGCCGACTGCAACTAGAATCGTGTACAGAGAATCATTGATTCCTTTCTGGCAACAAAACTGGTTTATTGCTTTACTCTTTGTCATGGCTCTTGCTTTACTCGGTCTCTCTATCTTTCTCTTCCTCAATCTTGATCTTGATGGCGCTTCCTTCTCCCCTGCCTCAGCTTCCTCCTCCTCCGCCTCTAATTCCGCCCTCGAGGTCAGATTAGTAATCTTGCTCCTTTTAATGCTTCTTTTTTGGCGAACTACTAATGAGTCCTTAAACTATAATTCCGTATTGCAACCAGTCCCTAGAGGTTATAAAGGGATAAGGTGTAAAAGGATTGTTTTTTAGTTTAGAATTTGGTAATTCAGAGTTCCCGATTGAGAAATTAGATTCTTTAAGCACTGAACTGATATTTTCTAAACAGTAAGGGGACTAATTTGAGCTTTGTTCTTTAATTCGAGTAATAAGGTTTTAAGGGGATGCTTAGATTATGAATTTTTTTGAAAACTTGGGTGCCCAATTGGGGAAAAAATAATTGTTTTGGGACTGAAGTGGATATTCAAATGAATTTGGGGGACTAATGAATTTTTCGTTTGTTTGCTTGTGTTAGATTACTTATGGGAGTGTTATTAAGCTGATGCATGAGAGGACGAAATATAGGCTGCATTCACATGATGTGCCTTATGGGTCTGGAAGTGGGCAGCAATCTGTTACTGGGTTTCCGAATGTTGATGATGCTAATAGCTATTGGGTATGTAACTCTGTCCGTCTCATTATCCTTCCCTTTCTGAGCTGTTTATTTATTTATTGTGCGTGTGTGTGTTTTTAAGCTCATTAACTTATCCAGGGTCCATGAATTTTATTAAACAAGTTTTTATATAGAAGTAATTTGTGATTAAGTGGTTCAAAATGCATAGCTTCCAATCAATTCTTGTATCTTTAGCTCTCTTGAATTGGCATCTGAATTTGTTGCAAGATTTTTAATTTTGTAATTATAGTTTTCATCTACTCGTATTGTTAACATATCAACACGCAGAAATTTGTTTCATGCTCGTGAGTTTTGTGCGTTGCTTAATGACCATTTTTGCAAAGCCAGAAAGTCTTATCACACGACCTTTATCAGTGAAAAGACAAAGTTGGCCTTTAATTTTCTAAGTAATGTCTTTGAATTGTGACCAATTCAAAGGATGGATTTGTTATTTTACTAAAACAGATTTTGAATTGGCTTTTAGTGTGGAGATGGCGACACCCTTTTTTGTTTGGTTTGGAGTACAGTGGATAGATGGTTGGATGTTTTGCTGTTGGATTTGATAAGATGAGAGTTCTGTTTTGTAGATTGTTAGGGCTCAGCCAGGGACAAATACTAAACAAGGTGACTCCATTAAAACTGGGACAGTTATCCGTTTGCAACACATGAAGACTAGGAAGTGGCTGCACAGTCATTTGCATGCATCCCCAATCTCTGGCAACCTAGAGGTTAGCATGAGTTTAGCTGTTTTGCTAGTGTTTCTGTTGCCTTTTGTAGCATGTTAAATCTTTTATACTTTTAGATGCTAAACATATAATAATGGAAAAAAAGAGTGGACATTGGATAATATAGTTAATCGTGCACGTATCTAATAAATGAAAGTATGACAATGGTTTGATGTTAGAAATTAGTTGAGAGAAGAGGGTCCTGTATTCTGTGGACTTGCATTTATCACGGTATCACTACCTTTCCTGATCAAACATTTCACTGGCTTGGACACTTGCATTGACATTCAGTATTCTGTCCTGAGGGGTGGAGAGAGAGAGAGAGGATTATGTAGTCTGTGTTTAAATGCCTTCATGAAGAAGTATTAATGTTAATCACTCTGTTGTATAATAGCAGCTTTACTTCACTGACCAAAGAATAAATTTACGAAATCCCAAACATGTTAATTGTATTAATGATACATTCTACTCGCTTTGCTTGTTGCAGGTTAGTTGCTTTGGGGGAGAGAATGAATCTGATACTGGAGATTACTGGAGGTGAGCCCATATAACATTCTCTCAAGGTATTCATGCATCTTAAACTGTTTTGTATGACAACTAATGTTACCTTCCTTTTTCAGGCTTATGATTGAAGGGAGTGGAAAGACATGGAAGCAAGATCAAAGGATTCGGCTTCAGCATGTTGACACCCAAGGCTACTTGCATAGTCATGACAAGAAATACCAACGAATTGCTGGGGGGCAGCAGGAGGTACATCACAGATAGCACTAATAATATTTTTTAAGCTTAGACTGTAGAGACTTTAAGTTTGCATCTAGTTAATCATTTTCTCTTGCAACATTCCCCGAACCATGCATGTTTGGGGTATTCTGGTGAACTATAATCCTAACTTGCTTACTGGTTTGGTGACTAATTTATCCATAAAAAGTAACCTCGACAGATTCCCATAATAGCCATTTATTGTTTGGCAGCAGAGGATTCTTACAAAGATCATGCTGCTTTTTATAGTTCACTTGCTGTATATTTCTTTGGTATACTTCCTGATCTATGTGCTCATATAGGTATGCGGTGTCCGAGAAAAACGTGCTGACAATGTTTGGCTGGCAGCAGAAGGCGTATACCTCCCTATTACTGCAAGCAAGTAAACATACTCTTGGACGGTACAGTGTCAAAACAGGAACCTGGGTTTTGAAATCAGTGGTGGCTGGTGCCTGTTTTTGGATTAGCTGTAGGTGGTACTATTTGGTGAGAATATATGTTACAAAACACGATTCCAACAATCTGATTAAATATGCATTGAATGAGACCTTTTGTATCTGAAGAAATATGTGCTAGGTTAGCTATTAATATATACGAAAATTTTAATCGCCTCTCTGAATTCTGCTGATTAAGGAGCAAATGCTCTAGAAAGTTTTTGAGAATTACTGCGATTACTTCCTGATATACGTGTTCATATAGGTTTGTGGTTGTCCGAGAAATACTGATTGACTATATAACTTCTATTTTCCTTATTTAAACTGTTTTATTTTTAGACCAAAATCAACACGATTTATTGCGAAAAATAAATTATTCCCAGTTTTCTATAAATTACCTTTTGAAATTTTTCAAAAAAGTTGGTCAATTAAAAATATTTTTTAAACAAGAAAATTTGTTTTAATTTTTAGAAAAATATATATATTTTTTATTTTGCGTGGAATATACTTTTTAAAATTGGAAAAAAATAAAAAACAAATAATTGTAATGTAATTAGCAGAAGAGGATTTTTTTTCTTGCATAGTGACATGCATGCCTAAGCTCTACAAGCACCTGCCTTTTATGCTATTATATATCTTATAGAAGAATCTCAATAAACGAGGCTGAGAACACTAGCTGAATCATAGAATAAAATTATGAAGCGGCCACAGAACATTTAAACTCGGTACTTTGATCAGTCACTCTCTGATTTCCACGGACAGACAGTATGTTCTGCAGAAACGAAATCATCTCTCATATCCTTCTTATTCTTTCGCGCATTGTCCAACGAGAAGCTGAGGTTTGTCTACCTCCATTCCTGCTATTGTGCTACCTGTTCTGTTTTCTGTTGTTCCCTTCTCTGATGGTCCGCGAGTCCCTACTTCATCCGCCTGGATTTACCAGGCTACATAATTCCTTGTCTCGCATTACATTCCAGCATCTTGATTTGGTGGCGGTGATGGAGGTCAAATGGAGTTTCTTATGATCCATATGACAAATACCAAGTTTTTCTTATGTTGGACTTAAAAAGCTTTGCGATGAGTATTTGTAAGCTGATTTAAGCATGAAAGCCAAAATATCAATTTTTCTTTACTCATAACTTGAAAAGAAATAGGTTTAGTATATGCATTTTACAATCTAGATACACATGAAACACAAGTGCCAATTCCTACAAGAACATGCACTAAGACATTCATAATTTCCTGTTTACATAGGTAGGCAAGACTAGCAACAACCTTACATCGAAAAATTCTAGTAGGAACCAGTTACTGCTGGTGTCTTTTAATAGTCCTCATCCTATTAGTTGAATGTGTCCAGCTCAAGGATTCGTAAACTCTACCACCACTGCTAAAGGTTGCACATCTTTTCTGACACAAACTTGACTTCTCATCCGTAGTTGTAAGGTCTCCATAAGAATTACCCGACTCAGCTCCCGCTGAATGCCTTTCAGCATCAGCCTGTGATTTATTAGGTGCAAAACTGAGCAGCATTTCAGCGGCCAGGCTTTCACATTCTTCATAAAGGACCGATTTACCCTTCTTGTTCTAATTGTCCTTTGTTACAACAGGAGTCTTCTCCAGGCTTGTAGTGTATCCATGTTCACCGTTTGAATGACTATTACTGTCTGTGTGTTTGATTTCAGAAACTGTGTGCGTAGAGGACGCTGAAGATCCCAAAACATGTTGGCTTATTAGGGGAATTTCTTCACATTTAGACAGGAAGGCTTCCTTGCTTCTGGGGCTTGCCTGATCTTCCTTGCAACTGGTGTCCTTACTGACACAAGTGTCTTTTTTCTCGCAGAACTCTGTGTCCTGGGATTTAATGCTATTGCTTCCATTGCTAGAGTCTTTTGCAATAGCAGTTAAGTTCAGATTTTTCTGTGCCAGATCGGTGTTTGTTTCCAAGTGAATCGACCTTTGGATGTTGAACTCGTCAAGTAGGTTTGGTTCCAGGATTGAAGAATCTTGAGAGCATTTGACAGGATCTTTGGGAAATGAATCAACTTCACCACTGCTTCCAAAATCTTGAAACAATTCAGTAGATTCTGGCAAGTTGCTTCCTTTCCATTGCTTTGGTATTCCTTCAACATCAGCGGACTCATCAGCTTCGTCTTCTGGGACCTTTTCAAGATCAAAATCTCTCACGGGTTTTCTATGAGCAGGAGGGGAAGTTTCATCCCCTATGCCATCAATCCACAACAAGCCACTACCTTTAATCTCTTTGAATGTGCAAAACGGACGCAAAGAAAGAGCCAATGGATCTTTCTTAAGTCCTCGACCAGCAGTAAACACCGGCCTCGAAGGTTTCCTTTCCAAAACAGAACCACAATATTGGCTTTCCACAAATACAAGACTTTCGGGATTAAATACAAGCACTCGTGCCTGAGAATAATTTCTTCCCCTTATTTCCTGCATTGCTGCTTTCTGGATATTGTACAGCTTGTGCAGTGCCTGAACCTGCAAACAGCAACATTTAACAAACTAAGATGAGCAACGATTTTCAACCTACTGTGAACAAAGAAACAGTGAATCCACCTTTTAACTGAACAAACTGTCCAAGAGAAGCAGCACCAATGCTTCTGAAATAGACATCAGCATTGCAATAATCCGTGATGAGCCTACTTCTATTACCTATACGAAGCCTGTTGCTTTCATAAATGCACTTGAGCATAGAACAAAACTCAAAAATGATAATTGCAAAATATACATATATTTTTCCTCTTACATTATACCTTTTAAGGTGTTTTAAGCTTATTGAAAGTTATGAGCCTATTTGGATATAAATAGTAGAAGAGAAAAACAACTAGGAATTTACGAGGATTTTAAGAGAGATTATTTTTGCTGCTACAATTTTCAGAAATCATGAACAATTAATTTTCAATTTTAGTTTAAGGGGAATAAACAGCATTGTGAGAAATCATTATAATTCTTTTAAATTTAAGTTTTTTTTAAAAAAACTTCAGAATCATATTGATTTCTGTTCAAGATTTTTGAATTGTTTTGAAATGGAATATATACTTTCCAGTTTCTTTAAAATCTATAGTTATTATTAGGGACTAGAATAAAAAAGCAAAAAAATTAACTTAATTGCTGCATCTTTCATTTTAATTTATTAAAAAAATAAGTTAAATTAAATTGTTAAACTTTTGAATAGTTGCTTAAAATAAATTTAGCAAATTTTTCTCCTAAGACTACAGATGAATGAATGAAAATTGATTTTTAATATTAAATTTATTTGATGATAAAATATTAATTAAAAAGCTTTGTTTAATTAATTTATCAATAGTTTCCTCGATTCTTTTTAGTTTTAAGGAATATCAAATTTATTTGCTTAGCTTAAAAAAATATTTATTTTTATTTAAATGATTAATAAATTTATAAAAATATATGTCAACAAATTTTTTTTTGAATTCGACCTAGTTTTTATGATGATATTATAAAATTATTTTGTTTGTAATTACACAGGGTAAGGAACAAAATCATAAAGCTAAAAAAGAAAAGAGAAAATCTTTCTTGTGCAGCAGACACTTTCATCTGTGTGTTGTTGAAAAAAGTTGAACTCTCTGTCAAAAAGATGAGGAAGCAGAAAAGGGTAAATCAAACAAAAACGTCAAACCTGTTCCTTAAACAAAGCTTCATGTTGCATCATTGTCTTTCGTATCTGATCCATGTCTTCAACAAAACTAGCTCAAAACAAAAAAAAATCCTGCAACTTCATTGGCAACTCTCTGTTTCAAGTATTTGAGCCGCAAGCACGAAACCCCGCATCCATTTCACTCTCAACTATCTGAGAATTCAAACGAAACAAACACCATCATCAGATCAAGCATTAAATTCAAAATCCCACATCCAACAACTATAACTTCACTCTTCCATTTTCCGCAAGTAGCAAAAGACCCAGAATTTAGAAGGGATTATCCTTGTAACCAGCCACGCTACCACTTAACTTTCAAGCAACCTGATTCCCGAGTCTGATTTTCTCAGCAACCAAACAGAAGCTTCAAATGGCCCAGAAGAACATTAAAAACAAAAAAAAGGATAGCTTGAAAAATCTGATATTTGAGGCACATGAATCCATAGAAAGAAACCCAAATGGATGGATGGATAGATATTTAAGAGACAGCCAAAGTGAAGCAGACTTGCGGCCATTAAGGTAAGATTCCAGGATCGATTGATTCGAACAATAATGAGAGGGAGACAAGACAAGTTTGCGGTTTTCAGTACTGCTGACGTTTGAGAGAATGACACGTGGAAGAACGCTGGAGATAAATCAAAGTCAAGCTCCTGATTGGCTGGCATTTGCTTGTCCTTGATGGAGGCAAAACAAAGCAGATCCGTGTATATGTATTCTTGTCTTGTCTTGTCTTTCTTTGCCGAGATTCACGCGCGAGGTATTTGGAATTTTAAATGCAATAAGAAAAAGTTTGGTATTACAGTAGCAGTGGTTTTTTAATATATTTTTTATTTAAAAATATATTAAATTTTTTATTTTTTAAAATTTACTTTGATTTGAAAATACTAAAAAAATTAATTTAAAATAAAAAATAAAAATATTTTAAATTTTTTTAAAATATTTTTAATATAAAAAATAATTAATTAATTTTGTGGAGAGGCAAACTCTACACTGCATATATAGACCTAATAAAAAAAATAACTTGAAAAAAAATTTGGACTATTTCATCATATATCATATTATAGGTAATTGCATTAACTTATTTCAATTCATTTTTATCAAAATAATATTTTTTTATATTAACACAAAAAAATTTGAATTCAATTTAATTAAGTTAAGTGAAGAATTGAACCCTAACATAAAAATGTTTAAGAGGAAAAGAATTAAGAGGGAAAAAAAACATCATAAAGAAAAACAAAGGAAGGTAGAGTGAAGAATTTTGTAATTGAATGGAAAAGATCTTAATTCATTATCTAGAGGGTGTTAAAAAAATATGGCAGTGATTGCTTTTCAAAGTATTTTTTTAAAATAAATTAAAATAATATTTTTTAATTTTTTTGATATTAACACATTAAAGAAAATATAAAAACATAAAAAAATTAATTTAAAAAAATAAAAATTTAATTTTTTTTAAAATATTTTCCACACACATAAACACTTGTAGGATTCACATTTTACACCTACTGCTTTTTATAAAACTAACAGCTTTATCAACTAACAAATGTAACTAACAGTTTCTTAGCTGCACTTACTACTAAACTAACACCCACAACTTGTCAATTAAAGTTTATAAATGTATTAGAATAGTTGGTAAAAATATTTAGTTTATTGTAAAAATAGCATATAAAATATAAAAAATTATTTAAAAAAAGCTTGAAGTGCATATATGTTTAAATTTACAAACATATAAAAATAAAACTCATAAAAAACATGATTTCAACACAAATATAATAAAAATCATTAAAAACATACATACTAAGTATATATTCAAAAAACTTGCAATATATATAAAATTAAAGTCCTAGCATGCATATTAATAATAAAAATAACAATACTTAAATTAAAACAAAGAAGGGTATTTAATTATTGAAATAATTTAAAAAATAAATTTTTTGCTATTATCAGTAATAAATTCATTATTCTTAAAGTTTTATTACTCATTATTTATGTATCTAAGATATTTGTAATATATCTTTCAAGATTTCAATAGCATCACATTAATTAAAATATACTACCAAATAAGAGAAGAAAAAAA